ATTGTACAGCCCTCAAACAATCCATCAGTACATCCTTCAAGCTCTACTTCCAAAATGTATTGAGCCATATGTACCATCTAAACTGATAATTCCAGACCAATTTATTCTTCTCCCTCTCCTAGATTACTGAAATAGCCTCCTGGGCTGTTTATGGGACCTCATTTTGGCCTCTTTACAACCAATGGCGCCTACAGCAGTGAGCTGATCTCCAAATCTCTGTTTACAACCTTTGAGTAATTGCAATTAAATTAGGAAAGAAAAACAAAACAACATAACTTTTATCATGGCCTACAGAGGCCTATAAAATCTAGCCCTTGATTCTTTCTCCAAAGTCATCTCAAACTATTTTTTGGCTCTTGGTCACTATGCTCCAGGCACAAAGGCCTTGTAACCATTTTTAGCCTTTTGCATCAGTTATCTTTTATCATTCAGGTCTCAATTCAAATGCTACCTTCTTACAAAGTGCTTCCCTGACCAGGTCCCTATAAAAGCTTCCAGCCATTCTCTTCTATTCTGCTACACTTTATTTAATTCATAGGATAAATAAGATCTGAAATTTTCATTTATTTATTTATTTATTTACCTATGGGTTTATTACTCATCTCCTTCTCCCCATGGGATGTAAATTTCTTATATATACTGGTCCCCACCAAGGGACCAAAACATATGGCCAAATCAGATGTTCAATAACTATTTCACAAACTGCCATAACAGATCTCAACTGTATCAAATGTACACAATTGGCAAATGTAAGAAAATAAAAATCAAAGTGATATGCAAAGTAATACATAAGATATGTCACTAAGATACGATTTCAAAATACCAGTGATGACTTAGTGGGAGTAAGAAAAATGAAAACAAAACTAAAATTTACACAGTGAAATCTTGGAAGGACTTCCTAGATTTCTTGAGCAGTTTTATTAAAGTTTGAGTCTAAAAGCATGCAGTTTGCATGATTTGATGTATAGAACACGTATGTGGTTGGCAGGCCATCATCTAAGAAATAGCAATCTTTCCTTAGAAAGCCTCCAAGGAAAGTAGAGAAATGTGTCTGTGTTTCTCATCTACATGGTGACTCCTTAAAGTACAAAGGTTTTCCATCTGGAACATTCTACTCAACAGTGTCTCACATTTTTAAGCTACGGTTTAATATAGAATAAAAAGATCATATCTCTAAGTATGACTGAAATTTCTTATGAGAAGGTCTGATTCCTTTTAACCATTGTTCTGTGTTACAGAAATTCAACTTTAACTTTAGACCTCTTGCTAGGAAAATGACTTGTGATCATTTAGTTATCTAATCAAGTTTTACCAAAAATGTTTCTTCTTACTTTTCTGATGCTTCCCATAACTTATTTTATCTACTATTTCATCACACACTGATAATTCCAGTAATTTATATTATATTTTTGGCATTACTTTTAATGCCACAACACCCCCCCAAATTCTATTCCCACTTTTCTTCTCTTCTCTCCCTCTTCCCAAGTAGACTATTTTAAAGTTATGATTAGAGATAAATCTTTTATTCGTATTTGACTAGTAATTGCTTCAGGTGGGCTAAATTGTGTCTGACTAGCAAATCCTGGTATTTCAGAAAATTTTTGTGTTCATATGTTTGTTTGGGGGAACCAAATTATAGTGTTAAGAACCTCTTCTGAATTGGAGCATTTTATATGGCAAATGAATTACCTCTGTGTGACTTTGGAAAATGTGGCTCCCAGTAGGACTGACATCTGTTTTGGGCTGATCATTTGTAAACAATCATCCATCTTGGGGGTACCTCTCGCCATAACATGCTGAAATCTGATGCCAAATTAATTGTATGTACTAAACCCACCTATATTGCATATATAGATGCAATATGCACAATAAGATTCATAATTAATTTCAGTACTTCTTCAGTTAATGTATTAAGTGCTGCCTCTAATCTTTTAAACAACCTGCTGAGAACTGTAGCAATTTTGCAGCTTCTATATTTCAGCCTTCTGAAAGCAAAAAACCCCACAAATGAACAAACAAAACCTACAGAGTCATTTCTAGAATTAGAAATCCACTTGGTGTTTATTGCACATTAACTTTTCTAGACATAGTGGCACTCTACGAGGTGCTTTGTGCCCTGGTTGTGTGTCTTGTAAAACTAATGCTCAAATTTCATAAGAAAGAACATATGTAAAACATTTCTAACTTAATAAATCTGCTTTACTTCAGACACATTGCAAGCTATTAAAAAGAGGTACCTATTATCATTATTTATAATTTTTAGTGTTTTTCAAATTCAATTTCAAAAGTTTGAATCATTAACAAACCTTCATCATTTATAAGCATGGCAACATTTCATACTTAGTAAATAACTACAGGGAATTTAATTTTATTTACTTTAGTTTATTTTTAATATCAGAAAATTGGGAGCTAATTTTAACATATAAGAAATAAATATAGCACTTAGTGTTATATTAATTTATTTCACAGCTACATAAACTAAAATTGAAAATGAAAGGCAAACTATGTTCATATCACCTTCAAAAATTTTTTAGAAACACATTAATAAATATCTGATAATATTTTCAAGACCATTTGAATTAATCAGATATCTCTTAGCAACTTACAAGTGTTAAGTTCACTTTGAGTCAGATAATGTCTATTTTTTGTCTTACAGAAAATATGCATCCTCCAGTGTACCAACAATTTCAAAGATCATATAATAAGCCTTTAGGAGCTGATAATTTCCTAGACAAGTAATTTTTCAGAATTTAAAGAAAACATACAAAAATATTACTATGGCAAAAGAATATTAGTAAATTGCAGTTATAACTTGAGTTATCTGCATATGGATCAATGATACAATACATTTTCAACCTGTGTATGAAATGCAAAAAAGTGGTTTGAGAAGTTGATTTCTCTTTTTTAAATTCAACCTTCCTGTTACATTCTTTGAAGCATCTATTGAGATAGATACTTTTAGTATTCAGTTGAACACAAAGCCTATAGAAATTATTAAATGACAACTTCAGGAGAGCTAATCCATTTTAATAACTGCTATTTGAGTAATTTTATTGTTTTTCTATAACTGATTCTATGAGAATTGCTGAATAAATGAATATACTCACAAACAGTCTGTGTTTCATTTATATGCCATCTGTCATGCTCACTGCTTATAATGGCTATCTCAGCCAGAGGGCCATGAAACTGAAGCAAGTGTCATCTCTGCATTCTTCTGCCCACCCATTGCCATTTCTGAAGCTGGATTAGTAACCATGTGAGATCACCACTGCACAAACAACTGCCAGCCCTGACCTACCGTCTTCTCAGTTTTCCTCTTGCTAGTCCAGAACAGAATCTCCTTTCAGGAGATAAAATTGGGGAGCATGGTTTTATCAGGATGTCCCACATCTCTCCAGCTCCTCTCAAATCCACCTTGCTTTTCAACATGATATCCTTAGTTCTCCTTCTGGAGTTAGAGGATGCACAATGAACAAGCTTAATTTGGCATCCAAAATGGTGATGGACCTTTAGTCCTTTGTAAACACAAAGACTAAAGTAAAGTGACTTCTCATACTCAATGAATTCCAGGAAAAACTACCTTATTAAGACTTCATGAAAAAATAACTTTCCCTTCATTTGTTTATACTCCTAGTTTGTTTTACAGGTTAGCTTATGATGAGACTTTCAAAATGCCCTAAAAGGGTATTGATCAATTTTGAGACTGAAGGTTGAAGGAGTTTGAGCTAATGCTCTGTTTCTTGGGTTGGGAAGGCAAGAAAAAACATAATTTTGATAATCATAACATGATGGTAGTGAAGAGAAAAGCAGGAAGGAATATTATAATATAGCAAGAACCTGAAGAGGTTGTGCCAGCACCTCACTGTGGATAACAAAGGTACATAGTAACACAGAAAGCTCACTCCCAACCTCTCTCACCTTGGCCATGTCAGTCCTGCCACCAGACCAAACTATGTGCCAAGCAATGGAAATACCAATTACTTCAATGTGGAAGATGGAAAAGTATGAGTTTAGAGGAAAGAGATTTTTTCAACCCATTTCCAGGGCACACCAAATTTTAAACCCCAAATTCATGAAGAATTCTTCATTGTGATGAACTGGGGAAATATTCTAGTACTAGATGGCAAAATATATATATGCTAAGGGGGTTAGCCTAGAGATTGAATCAAAATTGACGTGCAAGTGAAAATTTGCAACAAAAATTCTTTCCAAAGATTTGCAAATTCCATTAATTGTATTTCAGTTTATAGTATCATGCCATTAAGTTATATTAAGTATTTTAATGTGAAATAAAACATACACTTTCATGGAGAATACCACTAGTACAGATGATTCAAAATGAAAAAAAACAACCTCCTAAATATATTTTGCCTAAGAAAAATGTTGTTTCAAATATCATCTCCCTCTAAAAGTTCCCTTAGCCAAAATCACAAAATATTAGCATCATAACACGGTATTGGGAAAAGGATTTTGCATCTACAGTAAACCAAAAGTAAATAATTTAACTATAAACACTTTAGTGTTGTCTGCAGAGGTTACCACTCATTTTAGTGTCTAAAATACAATTGTGTCACTGCCAGTTTGGATCCTTGCTATCTAATAAATGAAACCAAAATCCACCTTGTTAAAGGTCCAATTTCTATAATAAGTTCAGAGCTCCAAGGGTATATTGGCTTAGGTCATTAAATATAACCTCAGTAGATAGTAATCAATAGGAATGAAAGAAAGAATTCACCATAAAGAAAAAAAGACTAAATTGAGCGCTGAATTATTCTAGAAAACACAAATGAAAAGAGCAACATGAAGAAACAATTCTGGTCTTAGCTACCTAGGTAATTTTAATTTTTTAATTTGCATCTTTCATCTCTATCCATGTTTAGCTTTAAATTATTGACCCTAGAGTATTATTATGACATATTGCAGAGATGATAATCCAGATATGTTTCATCACCATGAAATCTTATTTCTAAAGAAAACATGCACATATTCTATATACTTACTGGAGATGTTGATACTTGGGCTATTCTTAACTGGTTTTCCAAATCCTGTACTTTGTTTTTAAGTTCCATATTTTCTATTTCTAAGTCTTGAATCTGAAAAGCAAATCATTATTGAAAAACCTTCAGAAATTTATTCTTGGAAAATATTGGTTATTGTATTGGCTAAATTAATGAATAGGACTTCATATTATTTTGAATTTATGTACTTTATTTGCCCAGGGGAGAAAATTATTTGATAAATCTTGTTAATATCAGAGAATTCTATGTCATTGGGAAGATATTTAGAATGTTTTTACATGTATGCAAATTTCATGTTCCTAATACCTCATCTCTATGTTTTCTTGTTGCACTGTACAGTCTGTTACGTATAATCTTGCAGTATAACCGCAAGACAATGAAACTTGCTTATGCTGATTTTGAAGAGTGGAGAAAGGGTATAATTTAATTACAAAGGCATCTGATCTGCATGGGAAACCACTTACCCAGCATCTGTTGCTTCTGCTGCTCTGATCCCCATGAGAAGCATCAGGAAGTGAAGCAAAGTCACATGAGAACACTAAGTTCTTGTGGGAATTCAATATAAAATGGTTAAAAACTGTGCAGGGGATCAGGAATGAAAAATTATAGGAACACAGTGAAAGCAGTTCCAATCAGTGTGGGGGAAATTTAATGGCAGGCCTTCTAATTTGTTTGATGATATGCAAGTTTCCCTGTACTTACATCACATAAATGTTAACCAAAAAGCTTAGTTTACTCACTCTTTTCTGTAGTCCTGCAATCTGTTTCCTTGTTTCAACATCTTTTCCTCCAGATTCTAGAAATTTCCTGTATGCCAGGTCAAATGCTTGGCCGATTGTTAAAGTTATCTCTTCAGCCTTTGTGAAAGTTAAACATGGTAGATTTGCAGTTAAATAATAATGTCACTGTTCTTTGAATCAAGAAAAACATTCACATGAGGTCCTTCTAAAGGGCAATGGCTGGGGGTAGAAATGCAGTAAATAAGCCAAGTAGTCTATGCTAACATCATACTTTAATGCCTACCCATGTACAACATTAAAAAAAAAATGTTTGGCAATTAAATGAATTGCTGTTGAATTTGGGAGCAAGAGGTCTCTCCAACTTCTCATATTTTATCATAGTATTTTTTTCCTCCTAGTGTTTTCCTCTCTTCCTCAACTACTGAGCGCCTATTAAATGAAAGCATAGTGCCAACGGCAGTTTGTCATGTTGCTTTACTACTTATTTCCTCTTCCGAGTGAGGAGGACTTGTTAAACCTGGCAGGTAACTTGAATGAAGCTGGCTGGGTGGTGTCTGTGGAAAACTTTAGTGTTGCCCTCTCTAAATGGAGCAGTTGCTACTGAGTTCTGGTTAATTGTTGGCTTGTGGAAATGAGCAGTTCGAATCCAGAATCGTCAGATTTTAAATATGTGAAGTGAGGTAAAAAAATATGAATTTTTATATGAAAGCTCACAATTTTAAGTGATAGTAAATCATTTTTGCAAAACACAGTGCTGACTGAACAAAATTTATCTGTCATCTGAATTTGGGCTCATAAACATCTACAATCTTTGGTCTATCAACTAGAAACTACCACAGATATACTAAGTCTGCCAGCTCATTCCTTCTCCATTAATAATTTGACTGATATCACCCTGTCTTGCACAACATAAACACTAAATAAAAATTTACTTCATTATAAAATTCATAAAGGCATTGATTTAATGCACCACAAGTATGTCATATTTAGTTATATGACTTCCAGATGACATAAAAACTGGTAGTATATGCAATCCTGCAAATTACAGGTTTTAACTAATCCACTGCAAATCCTAAACCTTTGTGGTACACTAAGAACAATCTACATTGAAAATATGCTTTATTAATAAAGCTTATTTAATTAAGATATCGTCATTTTATTAGTTCAATGTGTGTGTAACCCAGTTAACTAAAAAATGCAAAATATCTGCCTAAAATTACATATGAGGACTATCTCTTACAAATAAAAAGGAGGGGGGGAAAAAGCTATATTGAAGAATACTAAGTAAATGAAATTGCCAGATGACCAAATTTCTGCTGATTCAAACTAACGAAAAAAAAATCTATATGAAAAACAATTTGGCTGTGTTGGTGTCAAGATTATGTATAATATTAAAAACGGTAAAAGTGGTTATGATAAATTGTGGGAATAGGAGTGACTTTTTTCTGTTTCTAACATTGAGACTTTAGGTAACATGCTTTTATTTGTTTTATAATAAAAATACATATTTGTAAATTGTTTTTCCTCTACCTTTTAAATTATGGATTCAATGCATCCTCTTAATAACACAATGTGTTATCCTCAAATACTCAAGGCATACACTACAGAAAAACAATTACATAGTAATGTTGTTGAGTTACCATTAAGGACATTTGACTTCATTATTTGTTTATGATACCTTTTTAAAAACCTACCTTTGTTTTACAATAAGACATATCTTTTTATTAAGACAGCATTCAGCTTCTTGGTAAATATTCTGCATACTTTACCTCATAGATTCTCATAGCGACTCTGTGAGATGAGAATTATTATCCCCACAATTTATATGTAACTGAAATTCTGTGAGGTTATATAACTTGCCTAAATCTCTCACATTTTGGGTGGAGAGGACAAAACTTGTATACGATGAAGTGCCCAGATCGTGATTATACAATTAGATGTGTTTTGATAAATGTATGTATCTATGTAACCACAAACAATTAAAAATATAGAATACTTCTATCATCCCAGAAAGTTCTCCTATGCCTACTTCCAGTCAAATCACATTTCATATGGGTAACCATTGCTCTAATTGCTAGTACCATAAATCAGTTGTGCTTGTCCTTGAATCCATAAAAATGGCCATAGAGTATATATTCCTTTATATCTGGCTTCTTTGGAGTTTCTCAGATGCTGTATGTATCATTTGCTGGAATATTGACTAGTATTCCATCTAATGAATATACCACAACTGATTTATCCATTTGCCTATTGAGGGACAAGACATTTGTGGTGTTTTCAGTTCTTGACTATAAATATAACTGTTATGAACACTCTTGTAAAATCATCTTATGGACTTATGTTTTCATATCTGGCTAGATATCTAGAATGGAATTTATAAATCATAAAATAGGTTTATATTTAACATTATAAGAAACTGCCAAACTGTTTTGCACAGTGTACCATTTTACATTCCACCAGCAGTACAACAGTTCTAGTTGCTCCTCATCCTCACCAACATCAATCTACTGATAGTTTTTTTAACTTTAGTCATCTTACTGGATGAGTTATGCTATCTCAATGTGTTTTCAATTTGAACTACCCTGTTAAATAGTTATACTAGCCTAGTTTCATGGATGAGTAGGCTAAGAAGATCTGTATTTTCCCCCTGATTAAGTAATGAATTATAAAGAGCAAGAATATGTTTTAGAAGTTTATTTCAAGAAATTATTACAAGGCACACATGAACTGTAACAAGAAAATATAACAAATAGCTCCCAAACAGACTTTGTGAAAAGACTAGATGTAACAATTTCTTCTAGTAATAATAGTGCATGATTCTTTTGAAACATAAGCCCTTTTTTATAATTAGTTAACAAATAAGAGACAGGTTTTTAATTTTGCCTTATTTTATATTTCACTTCACATAATTAAAGAAAAAACTTTTGTGTTGGGTGAAGTTTTCATCTGCTTATCAGGGCTAGTATTAAAATTTTATCACATGCAGTAGCCAGTAAATAATGTATATTTATGAATAGCTGGAAACAAAATTGAGAAAAATAAAGAATAACAAAATGATATATAAAAAGCTGGCAGTGACTACATTTGCTTTTATTAAAGAAATCAAATAAATTACATCATAATGATTGTCCATAATCTAATTTTATTTTTTAAACTAAATGAGATGACAGTAGAAGTTGTATAAATATTAAATCTTAATATCAGAACAGGGTGATGCTAATAAAGTAAGTTCTGGTTTTATAGTGTATCAGGATAGACCTTCATCTAAATTTCTAGCAAGCTCTTCGAAATTCACAGAAGTACTGAATATATAACATAAAACAAATGATGAAAATGAAGGCCCCAGAAAGAGCCCAGGGACTCTGGAGAGGTCATAGTCATGAAACAAATATAACACACTGGGAAGAATGTAAAAATTTAGGATCATGGATTTGCAGTTCTGATTCTGTTGCTACGTAGCTTTGTGACTCTGGGAAAAGCATTGAATCCCTCTGGCCTAGATTTACTTGAAATAAGATGAAACAGTTGGCCCAAATAGGCCATTTTTTTATTTTCCAGCGTTTTACTTCTAAGTATACTTTTAATTTGGATAATTTTAGATTTATATGCAGTTGTAAGAGACAATACAGAGACATCTTGTGTACCTTTTATCCACTTTACCCAGTGGTAACATATTACAAAACTTTGGTACAAATCACAACCAATTAATATTGATATTTATATAGTCAAGAATAATTCCATCACCACAAAAATTTCTCATCTTGCTGTCTTATGGCCATACCCTCTTCCAGTCTACTCTTACTGTTTCCTTAATCCTTGAAAACATAAATCTGTTCTCCATTTCTATAATGTAGAAATGGAATCATACAGTATATAAGCTTTTGGGACTGACTTTTTTTACTCCATAATTATTTGTAGAGTCATCAAGGTTGTTGATTGTATTAATCATTCATTCCTTTTCATTGCTGTGTAGTATTCCATAGTTAGTAGTATTCCTAGTTTGAATGTACTGGAGTTTGTTTAACTACTCACCCATTATCTAGGGTATCTACAGATTTGAGCTATTATGAATAACCTGATATAAATTTCCATGTGTAAGTTTTTGTGTGAACAAAACTTATGTCTGAACAAAAGTTTTATTTTCTCTAGGATAAGTGCCCAAATGGGTCAAATGATAGTTGCATATTTAGTTTTTTATGAAACTGTCAAACTGTTTTCCTGAGTGGCTGTACCATTTTATATCCACACTAGCTATATACAAATATGTATGTATAATTAATTTTTCCACATCCTTACCAGCATTTGGTATTGTATATTTTATTGTAGTCTTTCTGATAGCTGTGTAGTGATATATCGTTTTGATTTTAATTTGTTTCTCTAATTGATACCAATGTTATCTTTTCATGTGCTTATTTGCCATCTGACTGTCCTCTTCAATGAAATGCTCCTTCATATCATTTGCCAATTTTGCAGTTTGATAGGACTTTTTTATGCTGTTTTTTTATTGAAGTACAGTTAATACACAATATTATATTGGTTTCAAGTTTACAACATAGCAACTCAACAGTTATATACATTATTAAATACTGACCCCAAATAATGTAGTTACTATCTGTCAACATTGAAAGATGTTATGGAACTATTGACTATGTTCTCTATGCTGCATTTCATCCTCTGGCCAATTTATATAATGATTGAGATTTTGTTATGCTGTTGAGGTTTAAAAGTTCTTTATGTCTGCTGGATTCTAGTCTTTTGTCTGATAAAAGTTCGCAAATGTTTTCTCCCAGTCTTAGCTGGTCTTCTCATCCACTTCATAATAAGGCCTTTCACAGAAAAATATTTTTTGAAGTCTAACTTGACGCTTTTTCCATTTATGGATCCTACTTTGTGTGTCAAGTCTAAGAACTCTGCGTAGCCCTATATTCTGAAGATTCTCCCTGTATTATAGCTGTACATTTTACATTTAAGTCCATGATGAATTTACAGTTAATTTTTGTAGAAGGTATGAAGTTTAGGTCAAGGCGAATTTTATTTGTCCATGGAGATGCAATTTCACAAGCACCATTTGTTGAAAAGGTCATCTTTTACCCTTTGAGCTACTGCATTGCTTATGT